CCCTTATTTGTCAATCAATTTGCTACGTGGAAATCACATTTCAAAGGTATAATTATGTGATTCTTGTGTGTTATGCATGCGATCTTGTTTTAGGTGCGTATGAATATGATTCATGAAATTTCGCTTATAGTACCTATAATCCTACACAAACTTCATCAGCATGAGGGAGGGGAATATGACGGCCTTGGATTCGTTTAGAGCCGGACGACCTATGATGAGAATATAGGCGGTCAGCTGCTCTACCACCAAGAATCGGACGCCCTTTCTCTTTTCACCCAACCGGATAGGTAGATTCGGCCGACTGGGTGTATGACTCCACCCCCAAAACCAACCAAGGGGTGCGATAACTTATGCATGTTGCTGGGGTTGAACTTCAGCTTTGATAAACATTGCCAACTGATTATATCAGACGAACTGCCGATAGCAATAAGGATCGGGCCAACCTTTTGGTTGGCAACTTTGCATTCGACAACCATGGGGTCATCATGCGACTGGTGGACTTTGCCCCGTTCCTTTTCAGTGACGACAACCTCAGGGAATGTCCCAGTAGACGTTTGATCGATCATCGTCAACACAATTGATCATTTTCCAAACATGGTCTTTGGTGCCCTCTGACAGTTGGGCCGCCTGAAGCATAGCCGCCTGCAATGACGCTGATCATGTCCGGATCTGTGTCCAAGCCACTACAAGCTTTTGCCGCTTTTTTAGACGACTGCTTAGGGTCCGTCCTTTAGAGACACCTTGGACTTACGAATGTAGGATTTTAGCAATCCTTCCTCAACCAATTTGTTCAATAACCGCTTGAGGCTGTAGCAGTCATTGTTGTCATGGCCTATGTTCTCATGGAAATGACAGTATTTGCTCTTGTCACGGTACTTTGCTGGAGCTTTCATTGCCGAGGGCTTATCAAAGCTCACCTGGTCTTTGATCTCCATGAGGGTGGAGTAATAGGCTTTGTTAAACTCGTACTTGAGAACATACGGCTTAACTTCTTTTTTCTTCTTCTTGGACGGCTAAATAGAATTGTCGACCGCCCAAACTTCTTTTCTCTTTTTGCTCTCTTCATTTTTCTAAGTCGGTTGATCCTGCCGACTCCCTTTTTGTTTCTCAGACTTCTTTGAGTCCGACTACTTGTTGGAGGAGTAGAGTTCAGACGCCTGTATATAGGCCTCTTCCTCCCTCAGCGCATTAGGAAGAGTGTAAATTCTCTTCCAGACGAGACCAAACTTGAATTGTGATTCGTCCTTCAGACCCTTAAAGAAGTCTGTGAAAGCCACTTTGTCAGGCAGCCCTTGAATCTGGATTCTCTCTAGATTGAACTGCTTGACATATGAGCGGAGCCCCTCACGGTCTCCTTGAATAACCGGCCCCAAGTCATTGCTTGTCTTTTTGGCCGGTATGTTCATTGATAAGTTTGAGGAAAATGGGAATGCAAGCGTCCTAAAATTGTTGATGCACCCAGACGGCAGATTGTCGAACCACTGTTAGGCAATGCCCTTCAGTGTGGCTGGGAAGCACCTACACCATGCAGCATCATACAACCCCTGCAGATACATGAGGTTGGTATATGCCATTAGGTGGTCCTCAAGGTTGGTGGTGCCATCATAGGCACCAACCAGAACATTCTTAACATTGGTCAGCTGTGCTGCCTCGGTTATTTCCTTGGAGAAAGTCGATGGTTATTCCCCAAGTTTGAGCTGACGAAGCTGTCATTCCAACGGTTGGACTTGATAAGCAGCCTAACCCCTGAAGAGGGTAGGTTGCTAAAAAGGTTGAGCAAACGGGTCGTATGATTGATGGGGTACATACGCCGCCGAGCCAATCACATGGGGACCCGTTCGACCGAATGGGTCGACTGATGGATGCTCACGCCCTGAATAGGAAAACCTCAACGAGGTATTCTTGAAGTTGTCTGGCATAGTTGGCGTTGATGTCGTGTCAGACAATTGCTAGTTCTTCCTATGCTCGATGATTTGTCGAGCACCAGTGTAAGTTTTCTTGCTGTCATCCGGCTCTATATACCGGATGGGTTTCCTAGTTGATGTCTCAGGGAGACAAAACTTGGTCTTGTCAATTAAGGGCCTAGCCCCCTCCTTCTGCTTAGGATATGGAGTGGGCTCCCTGTCCTTGACCGTCTTGGCCTTCTTAGAGTAAGAAGGTTTCTTGGCCGGTTGTCCCTTACTTGGACCAGCCATGTAAGTTTTGATGAAGTTTTTCATCCCTCACTTAAAGTCAGTCATGAACTTCAAGACTTCAGAGCGGTTGATGTGAGCAGTTGACTCTTCAGCCTGAGGCTTGCTAGCTGACTTGCTCGCACCAACCTTGTTAGCATTCCGCTCCTTCTTGTCTTTGGAATGGATGCGTCTTGTGATGAGGGAACCATTTTCGATCGTATGCACTTTGACCTCTGATTCTGACTCAATATCATGGTCCAAATGGACCTCTACTCCTTATGGACGTCTGTCCTCATGAGGCGGTATAGGTTGTTGAGAAGACATCTTAGAGGTACTCTCCCTACAGACGGCGCCAAATGTTTCGGAGTCTTTTGATGTGTCCTGCGTGAGAGTTACTCACCAAGACTGGATCCTCGTTCACCTGAATCTGCAACAAACGGAAGCTTCGGTTGTTCGAAGTTCCGCCTCCAACGATCAAGTTAGTACGTGTCGAAGTAGAGAAAATGTAGAAAGTAAAGTAAATCTTCTCAGATCCCGATATCAGGTGTTTTCTCTATTGTAAGAGAATAGTGATTGATTGATGTAATAATCAGATAAAGGTCGTAAAAAATGAACATGTTCTCAAATGGGGGTAAATGTCCCTATTTATAGGGCATGAGGAAATGTGCCCCTCCTTAGGTCATTTAACCTAAGTTGGTGGGCTGCGCCGTTTTACGGTGCCTTAGGAATTGGGCCCGTGAAGGCCGCCATTTCCCCTCATGATTAGCGTGCCACGTGTCTTATCCTGGTTGGCCCATTTTGGGCGCCTCCTAGGGCAACATGTGTCGCCACCTGGTTGGACCACGTGGATAAGGTATTTTTACCCTAATCATGTCTCAACCTGATTGCGTCGCCAATTAGTGCACTCCTTTTTAGGGCACCAACCCTGAAATGCACACATTCCCACCCCTATAAATGCCCCAATCATTTATGATGGGAGGGGTGGATTGAGACATATCATTCAAGGCATATTAAATTGCTCTAACTTCTCTCTACTTTCTCTCTCTAAATATTTTCACTAACTTGATCATCGAAGGCGAATATTCCGTCTAGAATATTCGTTGTTTTGCAGGTGCCTGTGGCCGTCTAGACATATTCACGACCTGTATCCCGAGGGATTTCAAAATACCCCGAAACATCATGCATAAAGATAATTTAGCCATGTATTAATGAAAAATTCGAGCATTAACTAGTTTTCTCATATATACCACCTATGTTTAGTGTTTTATCATGTAATTTGTAAGTACCGAACCTTGAAAAATATATTAATCAACTCTAAAGCCTTCTTTAAGGCTAATCAATTACAGCATCAAGTCAATTTTCAACTTCACATACAAGTACTAGTGTAGTAGAGTATACAAGTATTAGAGTGTAGATGTTTAGATGATTATATCTATTTAAAGCTATTATTAATATTAAGTTACATTTTTGTAAGAACTTAATATGTACAAGTTACTAGTAATGCTTAGTCAATGATGAAGTGATAATATTAATAAATCACAAATTATTTAGCTTGAAATAATATTAATAAGTACATGATCAGATAATTTACATTAAGGATGACAATGTTAAATGGATATTCACTAACCCAATTCACACACCTTGAATAAATGGATGAAAACACGAATTAAATGGATGAAGAGCGGGTGACGAATGAAGCGAGTCATGGATCAGATCAGATGTGGATGGTGCTCTGCTCCACCCGCTAACCATTCCACGTGCCCGTTTAACATATATTAAGAGTTTTATCCACGTATTATAATAAAAAAAATGCTCCCTCTGTTCCTGAAAGTTCGACTCACTTTGCATTTGCACGGTCTCCAATGAACATCTTTGACCATTAATAACTTCGGCTATGTATAAGTAAAAATTTTAAAAAATTGATAGTTAGAAAATTTATCATAAGGGGAATCTAATAAGATCAAACTTGTTAATTTATTTTGATTATATAAATCATAAATGTGGTCAAACTTATTTTATTTTGACCACATAAATAGTAAGTGAGTCGAACTTTCAGGAACGGAGGTAGTACATGAAATATGCAAGAAAAATATTTTTTGTTGCCAATTAATTTTTTTTTCAAAAAACATGCTATTATTATTTCTTTTTTATTAATAAAATAAAGAAAAATTTTCGTAGGAATAACCATAAAAGTTTATGTGGATTTTTATTCATATTATATATTCAACCATTAGTCACCCGATTTACCTGTTTTATTCCTAAATGACGAATGGACAGATGTGGGTGATGGGTGAAGCGGGTGACAAATGAATGTGGATGGAGCGATTGGAATGATGGATGAATGCGGGTTAAGCTCCACCCGATCTAAATCCGATCCATTGACATCTCTAATCTACATGTATATCTTTTATGATAAATATAAAAATTTTATTCCAAGGTAATCTTAAGTTGGGTAATATTGGGTCATCATTTTATACATGTTAAGTGAATCAAATCACAATTTGTTTTCTGACGAGTCACATCAGTAATTTGTCAGTGGGGCTCGATTCAGTGTCTTGTTCTCTTTAGGTCGAGTTTATTACGAGCCAAATCCGTTTCAAATTAGAAGGTGATTCTTGAATTATTGGATCGAATAAATTTCAAATTGGTTTCAAATTAGATCACTTCGGCTATAAATAATCATCACCTAGCCTCCCGGGTCCGTATCCAGGTCTCAATTTAGATCAGTTTCAAAGATCGAGTCAGAAAATGAGAGTTGTAGCCATAACCCGTAAGCCCATAACAAGCACTTGTAGTTGTAGTTATTCAAAGAGATGTGACCAGAAAGCACCATGAACATGCCCTGTATAAAAAGGCAGTATTTTTAATTTTTCATTGATGAAAGAGACATCATCATCTTAATTTCAAACCAATTACATAATTCAGTGTCTCATTCTTCCCTTTACCTTTGACCATCTCCTCCCAAAAGCCATACTCATACCCAAAAGTCGTGTTTTTGGTACCAACACTTTTTTTGTTGACCTTTTCCATTTGCTTTATCCTTCCATTTTATTAAATACTACTGCTACTGTCACTCTTAATCCCACCAAAAGTTCAGCTTAATCGAGGGATTTTGGAGAAAATCCAAGAAATGGGTTGGTTCCCTTGTACTGGTGCTGGAAAATCAGTCGAAAATTTGAAGAAAAGAAGTGTCAAAAAGAGTTTAGAACATCAGATCTCATCATCAAGTTCAGGTGATTCCTTCATTTGGGTAATTTTCAGCACAGATTTTAAATACCCACTTTAATTGATTGATTATTATGAATTTTCTAAGTTACTATATTTGGGTGTATAATTTCTGGGGTTTCCTAGTTTTGATGTATGATTGAGCTTTTTTACTTTATTTTTGTTGGTGATTATAATTGTAGGATTATTTGATAGATAATAATATGATGTTTTATATCAGCATAATTTTCATCTTTGATTTGGGCTGTTGGTAAAATGATGATGTATTTTCAATCAATGTTACTCGACTGTCTCGGACTAATTAATTTACCTCAAGTACCTGTGTCGGATCTTGGACATTATTTGTTATGAAAATGGGTGTGAATATTTTAATAGTTCATTTTGGGCCAATATAAAGGGAAATTTTCACAAAATATTTGTGTTGGACACTTAGATACACACTTGTTTACATGATCTCAGTTTTGCCAATTCAGTTCAATTTGAAAGATCAATGCATGTACTTTTATGATGTTCTTTGATGATTGTGCATGGTGCTCTTCTTATGTCCAGTATAATTGCATTTGGTAGTTCTAGGAAAGATTTTACATGCTTTCTATCTGTTTATTGCTGCTTTTGCTTAAGCATAAGCTGAATTGTTCAGGGGATGGGAAAAAAGAGAGTACAAAGGATGGCAAATCAGATCATATTGCTGTAAAGACTTTTACGTTTCGTGAGTTAGCAGCTGTAACAAGGAACTTCCGGGCGGATTATCTAGTTGGTGAAGGTGGTTTTGGGCGGGTTTATAAAGGAAGGCTGGAAAATACTTGTCAGGTTAGGTGACAGAGCATTCTGAGCTACAAGGAAATATTGATCTATAGCAATTGCAATGTATTCAATATTGTTGGTTTATTGCTTAATTTGATTGGATAAATGTAGGCGGTTTGATTTCTTTCATGACTCATGAATGTCTTCTATAGTCATATGCTTCAGTATTATTAAAAGCCATTTTTCCAAATGTTTGTTACTTTTATGACTTGGCTATATCTGTTGTTTATAAAGAATCTATCAAGTGTCAACATTTTGAGTTGATGTTTGAGTCAGCAGCTTTGTTTTGTAGGAAATACTGTTTAACTTTCTAGAGGGTGTTTTTATTGGAGTCAATTACTGGATTGTTTAGGTTTAATGTGTGTTGGTTTCTTACAATGTGTTGAAATTGTTTGTCCCAAAAGTTTAAAGCCTGATAAGGGTGGAACGGTTGTTGGTTTATACTTTTAATTCACTTTTTTTGGATGAAGAGTGGAACAGTCTAGCTTGTGAGCATTTCTATGAACTGAGAATTACATTTTACCCTGATTTGTGTGAACTAATTATATTTTTTATATGGTCTTAATACTTATAAGATAATGGATTTGATGTAGGTTGTTGCTATTAAGCAACTTGATCATAATGGGCTTCAGGGCAATAGGGAGTTCCTTGTCGAAGTGTTGATGCTCAGCCTACTTCACCATCCAAACCTTGTTAACTTAATTGGATACTGTGCTGATGGAGATCAAAGGCTTCTTGTGTATGAGTATATGCCACTAGGATCATTGGAAGACCATCTTTATGGTACGTAAATAGCTGGTGACTCTTAATTGGTGTCCACTCATGGGGTAAAAGGCTTTCTGCTTATAATAAGAAAGGGCTGATACATCACTACTCCTATTATTTTTATATCTTGCAATAGTTGCAACTCAGCCTCCGTTTGGTGCAGCAAGGGAAAAAATCCTCTTAGTATTTGGCTGCTAGTGGGTTATGTTGACTTGCTGCATTATTATACTAGTAAAAGTAAAAAAAAACTGGTAAAAACAATTCCCTTATTATGTGAATCTTCTCAAAACCACCTAATACTACTTGCAAAATATTATGCATATGTTGCTCAGTTTTCAGTCAATCACTCATTCACACTCATGTAAGGCCGCTGTTAAATGTTCCTAGAAGAAGATGGAGACTAGTTATGCATCGTATTGAAGGGCGCTTGCATGCATTCTCTTTGTATCAAGGAGCTCTTTGTTGACATTGGAAATATGGGCATATTTAATATTGTTTGATAGGAGACTGGGGATATATGTAAGATTGTCATATGGAACTTCATATGGGTGATTTATGGAACTTTTGGAGATTGTCATATTGTAATATGTAAGATTGTCAATGAAGAATTTCATATGGGTGATCTATGGAACTTTTGGAGATATGCAGTGAACTGGTATATATTTGGGTGGCCCTAGACTAATTATTAAGAAGAAAGAGTAAAATTGATACCTGATACTCGAAAGAGGAAGGTTTTACACCTTATGAGATGATAAGAGAAAAAGCTAAAGTTGCAGTAGTGCTGAGTTAGTTGGATTTGCACCTTATAATCTCAAAGCAGTTTGAACTCTCACTGATTTGTATGAAGGTCAATACAAAGAACGATGCAAGTGCATTGTGTCACTTCCTTAAAGCCTGACAGAAATCTGGTTTTGCGCTGTGTTATGATGCAGCTCAAGATTCTCCCATAAACCTTAAGTTTAATATGTTTGGGTTTTAATTCCTGCTTTATGTATTGATGGCAGCCAAAGCATGAGGCACCAACCAAGGGGAGTTTAAGGAGGGTGCCAAAGGAGTGCCATCTACTCTGCTTTGTGCAGAACTGCTTACTATATCTGACCATTTGAGCATCCTACCTCCAAGTCAAGTGAGGCTAACTGTACTAGGGTAAAATAATACTTCCTCCATTCTTTTTTGATTGCAAAGTGGGGGGATGCGCGGCATTTTAGGAGAGGAGAGAGAAATAGGGGACTCGTGATGAGAAGAGAGAGACGGAATCATTGTCGAGATAAAGTAATGTTGTAATTAACTCGCAATTTCCTGAACAGGAACACTGAAACACATTGTGATTAAAAAAGGACAGAGGAAGCATGTTGCTAGTTCTAGCTGTACACAGTTTGGGAAAGGCTACCAGTTGATTATTAGTTACTACTACGTGATAGAAGTAGACTATACCTTAAAGAGACATCCATTATTGTTCATCATAATCTGTAGTTAAGCATGTTCTATTACTCAACATGTTTGTGGTCATAACTCATTAAATCAAGATCAACATCTCAATCTCTTTAAAGAGATACCTGACCTAGTCAGGGTAGCCGTTGGGGGCTTAGATGTACTCAGCTTTACCCCTATGACAATGAAATGCCGTTGTTGATATCTTGATCGGATAAGCGACAAAATCTTCATGATTAATAGGTTTTTATATTTAAAATTATTTTCTAGTTATTAGTTGTTTTGTAATTACACATGCAGGCTTTTTCATCATAGCCTGTCTAGATAATTTTTTTATGTTAAAATTCTTTGCTCGTTTTCGTGTTTTATTTGAAGTCATTCATTATTGCAATTGAAGTGCACATGAACTTCTGCAATGCATAAGAATTGACAGTATATTATGTCAGTCTTGTGTTTATTACTGCATAGTTGGTTGTTTTCTCTGATTTGTGGATGAAAGATGCTTTTCTGACCACTGTTATCTTGTCCCAGACATTCCTCCTGACAGGAGACGACTTGATTGGAATACAAGAATGAAAATAGCTGCTGGTGCTGCCAAAGGCTTGGAATACTTGCATGATAAAGCAAATCCACCAGTTATATATCGAGATTTGAAATGTTCTAATATATTACTTGACGAAGATTATAACCCAAAGCTGTCTGACTTCGGCTTGGCCAAATTGGGGCCAGTAGGGGATAACACGCATGTTTCAACCAGAGTGATGGGAACTTACGGATATTGTGCTCCAGAATATGCAATGACTGGTCAGCTTACCCTAAAATCAGATGTTTATAGCTTTGGGGTTGTTCTTTTGGAACTCATTACAGGGAGGAAAGCAATTGACAATTCGAAAAGTAATGCAGAGCACAATCTTGTAGTATGGGTAAGAGAGTTCATCCTAATCATTTTTGTCTGTAAGATTGATGATTTAACTATTCTGTTTTTTGGTTAGCTTCTTGGTTGGCAAATGTTGACTCAATGGTGGTTGAAGCATTTGAGATAATTTTTTTTTTTCGGGGCATGGCATGGCATGTCAGTACTTGTAAAGCTGATCATGCTCATGAAGTTGATGAATCATTTAAGTGAACTTTGTTATTAGAAAGGCAAAACTACAGGCAATTGGAAACAAATCTCTTCCTAGTTCCTACTGCCCTCAATCATGTTTTGTAGATCTTAATTCTATTTGTTTTTTCTCTTGTTCATTGGTGCAGGCACGACCCCTGTTCAAGGACAGAAGGAAATTCTCTCAGATAGCCGATCCAATGCTCCAAGGTAGGTATCCAGCAAGGGGATTGTATCAAGCTTTGGCAGTTGCTGCAATGTGTGTGCAAGAACAACCTAATATGAGACCCCTTATGGCTGATGTCGTCACAGCTTTAACTTACCTTGCTTTCCAAAAATATGATCCAGAGAGTGAGTCACGTCAAAGTTTTCACTCAGCTGCTTCCACTCCCAGAGCCAGAAAAGATTATTGAAAGCAAACTGCATTTTTTAGGGTTATAAGTCCGACATGTAAATTGAATCTGCTTAATCATAATGTTCAATTTCAACTTTCAAGGCTGGTTTTGTGTTCAGATAGGCGAGAGTGGAAAAAAAAAATAGAATCAATAGATAGCAAAAATTCATCCTCAGTCCTTTGTACTTGTATGAATTTTTACAGTTATATACTTATAACTCGTATATATAGAGATGTGGATAGAGCGAACCTGTTCGTATATTAAATTGCCTTGGTCTGTTTTTTATATTTTGGACAAAGAGGAGCTATGAGCTAAACAGCAAACAAACTAGATTATCCAGTACAAAAACTGTCTTTTATGTGCAGAGATAGCCAACCAGTGGGCCGGAGCCCAGGAACGAGAAGCCTTCCTAATACTGCAGGACAACAAGCTTGGCAACAAGCAACAAATATCACGCAACAGCCATCCTGAAATCACATTCCTCGAACCTGAATCACAGAGCAAATTAGAAAGCTCAGCACAGTTGGTGTGTTTATGATTGACGTTGTTTGTGTATAATGTGCCAATGATCAAAAGGCGTAGTATAAAACAAAAAACTTGAACTTTACAATAGACATTCATGTCTGTACCCACACTCACTGCAAATTAAAAGTACAACTAATTGAACGATCTTTAATTTTATATTGAATTACAACAATTTATATGATGACTTAGCTCAAAAATAATACAAAATTGAAAAAAAGGAGTAAGAGTAAAAAGAAATATAAAATTAAACAAAATACTCATACCGAGTATAACAACTGACTTGACTTGTATCTATAACATAGATGTTAAGGTTACTGATACATTCAACGTTGTAAACAATATGAACGAAACAAAAAATAAGGATTTTGGATTAAAAATTGAAATTTTTTTTTTTTTTTTTTTTTTATCATTCAAGTTAAATCTGTGTGATATACAATTTAACAAAAATAGTTATAAACTTTGTTTTTCATGCTAATTTCAGCACAATTTTCCAAAAGTAATTGCAGAGTTTTTATTGCACGTGTTGTTGAAAAATCATGTTTTCTTCTACTTATTTGTTGAGCAAAGATAGGTGCAACCGTGCAAGTTTATATATGTACAAGCACTATTAATGATTTAATGAACGTTAATGATAAATTCATTATTTAGAGACAAATGGAGAAAACAATTGACTTGTTTTTCTTACGCAATCTTATTTTTTTTAAATGACGCTCCGTGGAACAGTGGTACATCAGAAAAAGACGAGGGGTTGAGAGAAGTCAATAATCGTTGTAAATGTAATATCACTCATATTTTTATAGCAACTTTCTAACTATATTTCTACAATGTTTTTATTAGTATATCGTAACAAATGCAAAATTGAGCACTATACACTGGGTACAGAACAGCTATGAATCAAAAATTACCAACAAGACTTATCTATACTAATTGGATCGCACATTAGTATCCCGCCTGAACTGGACTTGACCAGTACAATACAGACTATGTACCTCATCAATTTGCCTGTATAAACACAACAATCATATAATTATGGTTTCTCTGGAGCTTCACTTTCGTTACTTTCTTGTTCCACGACTGGGCTCTGTACCTCATCAACAGGCTTGTTATCACTTGACTCTTCTGTGTTCGCTGGCTTTCCCTGTCAAAACCATCAGATTCAGGCCACAGTTGATTCAGTTGAATATAACAAGAGCTAGGATGCTCCAAAAGAAGCAATACGTGCAGCTATGATGATCATAATGCATCAATGTACAATATCTTCCATGGTTAGAATTCAAATGTTCAACTAAAAATATCTCTTCAAGCTATAATGGTAGAGTAACACGGCCACCAGAAGCTGCCGTTTAAACATGTAAGACAATAAGCATCAACAAATGCATATTATTTGTTATTGGACATGGGACCGCTACTAAATAGTGATTCTGCCCAACAGAAACTACTTTGGAGAACAACATGCCAAAAATACATAGAAGAGAGATGAAAGAGCAATGGGTAGAAGGGGAAGTGCAACTCTGATCAATTCTTCATGGTAGTCAAATATGTTCTTAAATTCTGATAACCATCCCAATTAATGGCTCATAAAACTGCCTATGATCTTTATTTATTGGGAAATAAGCAGTCATCGTGTATTGCTTAAAGGGATAAAGCTACACTGCTTGTTTAGTTTGAAGTAGAATACAATAATTTCTATTGGTTTAAGGGTCAACTCAAAGCAGCCTCTCTGTTATTGTACTTATCACAGGGGTAAAGCTACAAGCATCTAACCCCTTACCCTGCCCAAGGTGGACTGGACGCCTTTATAGAGAAATTAGTTCGATAATCAATAGTTCAATGTTTATGTTGTAATGATCTATACTCCAATTCACACTATAAGGGTCTTCTTTTCCTCTTCTACATTAAGATTTACAATGATGCTGAATGATTGTTGAGCTTCTATTTTACTCCGTACTCCCTAAATTTTAATAACAGAAAGTTATACGTAATAGCAACATGTAAATGCAACAATAACTCTAACCAAAATATTCAACAATGACTTGACAAAAAGGCAGCACTGTCAGAAGTAAATAAAAACCGTATCAAAGTAGGCTACCTTGTTCTTGTCACGCCATCCAAGTCCAAAAGGTCTTGCTAGCAGGCTAATTTTTCTAGGAGGCACATCGATTGAAGGCTCCATATTACTTTGTGCAGGCGAAGAATTGTTTTGCACAGACCTACAAAGGAAAGGTCAGACCATCTTACATCACAATATTTTACCTAAAGCACACAGAAGCCAAGATAAAGACTAATGTGTTCACAAGAATGCTTGCCAATTTATAATGGAGCATAAGTTTGCATAAACATGAGACAATCAGCTCAAAACTTCAAAGTTTTACTCAACCAGACTGCATACCTTGGAGAAGGTTGAACTTTCATTTGCCCAGACTGGTATTGCAGTGTAGCTTCCAACATAGACTCTGCCATAACTACCCGCTTCTCCATTTCAGCAAGTGAAGCAATAACCTTATCATACTTTTCCTACACATATGTAAAGAAGCATGAGCATCATCCTAACAAATCTACAGCAGCACATAATTTACAAAAATAAATAAGTAAAAGGATGGGGAGGACTGATTATTAAAGCTGATAATTTAAACCTACAATTTTGTTTAGATGTGTGTACTGTGCTAATTAGCAATCAATAACTAGAAGCTAGCAGGTCAACAAACGTGATAATCTAAATCTATATTGAATATGCAAAAACATTTAAGAAAAATTTCTTATATACAAAGTATGAAATTTGATCAAGCAGTTCAACAAGGTAGCTGGGTTTCATAAACTAAATAAAATAAAATAAAATAAATGTATGCCCTAAGCGGCCAACAGCATGCATTCAACAAGTCTTTCCCTCCAATTGGTAGGAACAAAAACAAGGAGGGGAGGGGGTGGAGGATCTAAAAAAAAAACCTGAAGAGTCTCAGCAGCATGCCTCTGAACTGCCGCTTCTTGTTCAGCAAATCTACGGGCGTCTTCTGTTAACTTCTGCTCTTGCTCAACCCGCATCAAGACCTAGAAATTTGTTTGGGTCGATTTTTATGAGCAAAATTTATGCATATTCAATCTTTTTCATTTGAAGAAACCTCTCGTTAATAATTTTGTCAAATCTAAAAGCTAGATTAAACCTGAATCATGGCACTTTCTTGCTCCTGCTTATCAGCCAGGACACGACGTAGCTCCGAAACCTCTTGTTCCAATTGTTCAACCTGCTTTCAATAAAAGACTACCTTAAATATGCAACTTGCTATCTACATAAGTGCTTGTACTTTTAAAAATGCTAATCTTGACTAGGTAACATTCTGATTCCAGGAAATGATAAATATAAACCAGTCAAAGTGAATTGTGTGTCCAATCAAACACTAACATTCATACTGACTGCTTCAATTTTTGACAGCCATCAAGACTAGAAGCCTTTACAAATGTTTCATGAAGTACACACTCCACAGTCAAATATGTCTATGAAGGACATATGATGATAAATATAAGGTAGCATAAGTTTTGGACTTTGAATTAAAATATTGAATATAATAAAACATACCCTTGCACTTAGTTGTCGACGGTTGTCTTGCTTCACCATTTCCATTAATGCAGTCTCCAGCTCCTCTGCTCTGGAGCCACAATAACAAAAAATAAAAACAATATTAAAACTTACAGAAATTAGTCAAAGGTGAGAGAAAAGATCTAAAGAGCTGACAATCTGACATTCTTCACAGGAATATATGATTCGGTTTCAGCATACATCAAGTGCAAGTAGGAGAATGAGAAATCATTATGATCACATGATCATACTATGTGAAGAGGAAAAATATTCATATACTTCAAGCAAGAATCATGATCTCATGAATTATTGTCCTGGAGCACCTAAATTTAACCTCCATTATGATGCCGTTAAATATACACAAAAAATAAGCAATTTAGTGACAGTAGCCACAATAATTGTAGCCTAAAGCTACTGCAGCAGCCTAACAATTAGGCTTCTGCCCAGGATGTTGGGCAGAGCTACAAATAGGTGTCCTTACAATTGCAGAGAGGAATCTATAATTGACCAGCATACAACTATTAAATTTCAAAGATAACGTGCTTAAAACTATATATCAAAGCAAATAACTGCCGCAGCACAAAATAACATGATAATTAAAATATTATTAGATTTTTATTTAAAAAAAAAAAAGAAAAAAGAAAAAAAAAACAATAGAAAAGTCGAGGTCAAAGCTTAACAGTGATTCAGTTCAAAAAATGAAAGATTCAATATCAGATAACGTGCTTAAAACTATATATCAAAGCAAATAACTGCTGCAGCACAAAATAACATGATAATTAAAATATTATTAGATTTTTATTTAAAAAAAAAAAGAAAAAAAAATAATAGAAAAGTCAAGGTCAAAGTTTAACAGTGATTCAGTTCAAGAAATGAAAGATTCAATATCAGAGGGTATATAAGGGTCATATCTTCCTGTAGAAATGCAAGAGCAAAAACAGTGAGGTACTGAGGTGTGATATGATGAAGGCTGCATACATTAGATCTCCCCAGTCCAGGTTTGAGTGGGAACTGGAGGCTTGTTGATAATAGTATAATACTAGCATTGATCATATAGAATTGACAAGCACATATAATAATTTGAGTTTTTCAAGTAACAAATCATACAAATTCATGAACATTCTTGTCAAGCCCTTGTTTGGTCTTCTATTGAGAAAAAAAAAAATATATATATATATATACATATATATATATATATATATATATATATATATATATATATATATATATATATATATATATATATATATATATATATATATATATATACTTTTGAACGAAGCAATCTTTGCCACAGTTTTCTGTGGAGTCTAATCAAGTTACCCTCTAAATCCAGAAGTTAAAGAGAGATTACAAAGAACAGAAACACGATAGCACATAGGGACACAAAGATAGAATATTCAGGAAGTATATACCAAATCCTAGTTCTGAAAGTAGATTGGCCTGTCATTCCTTATTATTGTTATACATGAAAAGAAAGCCTGAATTTCACCTTAACTCTGCAGATCTTTTTTCCTCCAGCAATTTGCATAGCTCAACCTTCAACCATCCCGCCTAAGAGGAAATATAGAGAGAATAGTTAACATAACTAAAAAAAGAAAGTAAGGTAGTGGAAGTGGAAAAGAGAGAAAACATAGGGAGCACAAAAGCGAGGTAGGTGTAAATTGGAAACCCACAACTTTTGGGAATTTTTATAGCTAATAAAAAATGTATAGAGGAAGAAAAGGTTTTAAAAAACATTAGGAGAGGGAGGAAAGTCTGCAAAACACAATTACTTAACGAAAAAATATAGGAAAATAAAATATAAAAAAATCCAGCAAGCACATTTAAAATATCCAGTTTCAGTTTTCTCCAACTAGCTACTCGATGCTCTTAACACCTCCAACCAAAAATATCCTTCTAATTTTCCCAGCTTCTTAAACACCCTAGATACTGGGATTACCAAGCTTGCAACCAAATCATCGGTGCATCGCCAGGATAAGTGAGACGACTAGAACTTTTCCAACCAACAATGAGCTTTGGCCTAACGTTCACCCCCCCCCCCCCTTCTATTCATCAAATACATCAACTCAGACTAGCAACATGGCTCACACTAAGAGATTTGCAAGAAATCTATGTTTCCTAAGAATTGTTGCTTCATTTCTTCTCAGCTCTTGATCTAAAGCTTTGTGCAAAATCTTTGCGCATATTACTAGCTTTTTTTGCAGTATGAAAAGATTCTGACAGCCTAGAAACTGGACCAGCAATCAGCTCAGTATTTGAACAATTGTCTTTCATGTACCCAAAAGAACACACAGGAAAAGCAGAAAATAGATCAAATACAACTTTTTGGCTCAATTTACCAAACCCTGAACTTAACAAAGAATCTTTGTCAAAGATTAATAAACTTCCACCTTAGCCAGAGAGAGCAGAGACAGGCAGAGAGAATGAACTAGTGCACACTGCTTGCTGAACATGGTTTCAATGATATATTCTATTATATTCGTCAAAAAGAAATTAAATCATAAAGCTGACAAAAATTCCTAAAAGGAAGTCAATGAGCTAGGAAGTCACTGCTTTCTGTAAATTCCAACAAAAATGAGAAGTAACTACACTAAGCATAGTAATTCTCATTTAGCCAATACGGTGAATCAATGGATTGTGACAATGAGACTATTGGAAAATTAAGAAATAAGCTTTACCTGTTCTTGAAGGTCTAAACCAGGATCAATTTCCACACCTCCAGTCATGCCAATAAAGTAATCATCTGGCGTAGTTGAACCAGATTCCATGTGGGTTGTATCGCCATTCATTTTTTCATCAGAAACTTTTAATTTATCTGTCACAACAGATCCAGGATCATGCTTAAAACTGAACAGCTTAGAAGCAAGACCCTGTGAACTTTTCAGAGCCTGAAGGCCCTTGGATCTTTCTTCAATTGCAGCTATTACTGCTGGTCGATTTTTATCTCTTAATTCCTGCAGTCTAGCTTCATGAACGTTTTGAAATCCCATGCAAGCTGTCAAGACCAGTTGACTGCTGTCAAACGTTGATCCAGCAAGAGATTGCAGCAAAGTAACTGCATCTCCCGCATCTTTTGTTGTCACCAAGGCAGGGCCTATGCAAAGTTGGAAAGGAAATCATCATTATTAACAGTTAAGTACTTAAGTGATTTGAAATAACAGTTCAGGATTCTTATGTCCCCATAATATACGAATATCTGGTGAAAACACTCTTCCCTCTTCAATTTGCAAGTAAACTACATCCAATACTTCTTAAATCAAAATTATAATCCCAGTACCATATAACTCCATTAGTGCAAGAGCAGTGCGGAATAGCATGACACGAGTCCCTTCAAAAAGCAGCACATCCCAAACTCGAAGAACTGATGTAAGAAAAACCAGCAAACTATAAACAGCTCATCACTAAAATACTAGAATTGTCAAAAACAAATATATATATATATATATATATATATATATATATATATATATATAAGCAAAACTTCAGGCAAACAATGATGTGTATATGCAGCACAATGTCAAAAGAATCATGCACCATAGATATCAGGACAGTATCTAAAATCAAAGATAGAACCTAACCACTTTCCCATGGAAGCATATTCATGAATATAGAGAGAAACCATGGTCCAGTAACCCATGCCACTTGAACGCCCAAGTAATCAAGATGGTTAACTGCAAAAAGAGAGGTCACATCATTCAGAAGTTGTAGAACAACAAAAATCAGTGATATTATTATACTAACAAGAGGATACAAACCCAATTTCGGGAATCTTTCACGCACCAAGTCCTCAAAAACAAGTTGGTCTACCTGTAATTGAGCATACGACTTGTCACAACAACCCCGAGAAAAAGGTAATTGTACAGATAATGCATGCAGATAGAATAGTAGGAGAGCATTACTACCTGACATTCAATCATCTCTTCTGAATAATAACCATCAAAATAGTCATCCATAATACCCATAAGGGTCCTGCAGATAAAGCCATTCAATAGTCACACAATGGTCCATCATGGCAGCCCACATAATATATTACTCTCTCTATCCCTATTTAGCTGACACACTTTGACCGGCAAAAAGTTTTAGGCGAACTTAATTGACTTCTTATTTTATTGTGTGATAGTTGGTAGTGGGGTATTATATTTAGCGGGTAGTGGGGGAACTTTTTTAATGATAGTGGAAAATGAGTCCAAAATGAAATGGGAAAAAAAAAAAAAAAAAAAAAAAAGGTGGGTCAATGCCATTTATGGAAAGAAAGAGAAGTGTCAACTAAATAGAGACAGCTTTACAAGGAAAGTGCGTCAACTAAATAAGAACAGAAAAAATATTGAACAGCACAGCGCATGTAGAATAACATTAAAGTGTAGTTAATATAGAAAAAGGTAGTAAACAATGAGGGTTTTCAGACCTACCAAAAGGCATTCTCTTCCGGCATCAAAAGCAACAGTAAGCCAGCAAAAAAGTTCATAGCCTGGTGATACATAAAGATAAGAGATGACAAACTGAGTAAGTTCTTCAATTCCATTGTACATTTGATCCACAAAAGCTTCTCTAAACCTTCCACTAGGCATTAAAACATGCAAAACCTTCTAGATAGTATGAATTTTAGTAATATGATTCATAGTGTATTTAGAAACTAATCAATTAATGCAGGTTGCAACCTTAACAATGAAAACAGAAAACTGACTGTTAATTTTAAAAATAGAAAGAAAGAAAGAAAGAAAACTAAAACAAAACTTCACAGAATTGATAGACAGAACTGCAGGAAAATGATGAGTTTGTTTGCATAATTTGCCAAATACTTGGTACTGCTAATGATTAAGGGGTTCCTAGAAGTTTCACCTTTCAAGCCTCCACCATCCCCACCCCCCTTTTTCTCTGCCTATCTCATACACTCATTGGTTATATTTCTCTCCAGCAGCGTCAATTTAGCACCCCCGTCAAAATAAATAAATAAATAAATAAAACTTTATGCCAACAAAATATATCCACCATGGTTAAAAAGGCTCTTATAATCAATCAAAAGCCTAAGATTGTTTTGTCATCATTTCCTTTCAATCAATCCGTCAAATTTTTATATCTGTGGTATAGGGAGTATTGAATTCCCATGAACCTGCCCAATTCAGATGTCAACAAACTATTTCAAGTCTTAATCAACCATCAGTGGATAGGATTTCCAATATGATTTAAATTCTGTACTTTTCCAGAAAATTTGTGAGCGGAAACATTTCAGCTACTTTTTCTTCAAGTTTAAAATGCCCAAAACAGTGCTAGCTTGTCTTGTATTGTCATGCCTGTTTTTCAGCATTTATCCATTTATGATAAATCAGGAATGGGTGTTTCCATGCTTCATAGTTTTGCTTTGATGTTATCAAAGTTAGCAAACAAAAAAATTATTCACTCGGTTTTCCCCCACTTAACTCCTCAAAACTTCAATATATAAAACCACATGGAGAATGAATTGCCAAAAAGTTTTCTCTCATACCCTCGGACAAGTCTTAGACAACATAAAAAATGTTTTAAGGATATTATGGGATAGCTCAATATTAAACACATTAAAAGTTTTATAATATGGAGGAGTTGATTTTTGTACGCAATTTCCAAACTGTCCCAATTGTCAAGACAACTTCTTAAGTACTGCCTCAGTCTGAAAATCAAGTTCCTCATCGACTCAGGCATGGAAAATAACAGTGCCCATTAAATTTTTATAACTTTACATTGAATTCTAGCACTGCCATAATAAAAAGGTTTTCTTGGACCTAAGCCCATAAGCATAAAGAGAGTTCTACATATGAAGATATACAAACATAAATAGTTGAATAATTGACTTGGATATCTTCATATCTTAGAAAGTAGAGAGATGCATCTTAAGACCAACATCCAAGACGCCCAAATTAAAGGCCAAGCCATTCCGCCTAAGCTTCTCAAATGTATAAATGAGATATTTCTCGTTCTACTAGAAGCGTAAATTAAACAGTTCTATAGATTTGCAACAAACCTAGAAAAAGTTAAATGGAAAAACTTGGATATGCTAGGCACTAAGCTAAGTTATATATTTAATGATCTAGAATTAAAAAAAAAAAGTGGTAAACAAGATTTTTCAAAAGTCAATTACCTGGCAATAGCCAACTGACGGATTATGCCGGGCATAAGCTATAAGTAATCGCCTTAAAGCATTTCTACCATTCTCATCCAAAGCAGGGTGGCCTGGGAAAGTACGGGGTAAATCCTGTGTGCATATGATTATTGTAAAAATCAGGGCCTAAAACCAAACTTTAATAGTATAGACAGGAGCAAATATCAATTCACCTTTTCAATCTGCCCCTTCCATTTCTCACGTCGTCCTGTACTTTCTACACCTGGCTCTTTATCATTTATTTCTTCTTGATTTGTTTTATAACCATTATTACTTTCTGCAGATAACAGATTTTGATAGTAGTTCTCTACTCGGCGTGCCTTCACACCAACAAAGGCTTGCCAAAGCTACAATTGTAAGTATTAAACCAACTATTAAACAAGTATACCCAGTAAACAACAAATTACATGCAGTCTAATCAAATAATATACCTCTCCTCTAAGGGCCATTGGCAGTCCCCCTCGAACAAGGACTTCCAGCTCTTCTTTCCATGGAGAACTAGAGTCTAAGTTGGTTCCTTCAAAAAGGTTAGTAGTTGCAGGTGAGGCAGCACTATCAATAGAAGGGACATCTTGAATAGGATCTGATCTCTCCACATCATAGAATTCTTCTTCTGAATCATCTTCTGGTGCTCCTTTGGAAGATTTAGCCTCTTCGTTAGTTTTGAGAGTCTTATGAGGATCAGTATCCTGTCCTCTCTTAGACAGATGGTTCTTCTTTTTTACCCGAACACTCATCATATCCTCTATTGTACGTAATGATGGCCTTATGTTCGACCATATTTGAACTTTGTGAGTTTTCTTCTCCTCTACTGCTGGGACCACTGGCTCCTGTTCTCCATTGTCAACTGAATTAGGTGTATCAGTTCCATTAACATCTTCATCTGATATTTGATGATTAGTATCAGCTTCAGATGTCCTGTGACCTTTGTTGTCAGCTGCATCAACTGCTACCCCATCAACAGGCAATTGGACAGACTCGGATACCCTTTCCAGAAAAATATTCCATCGATCAGATCTTTCTTCTTCCTCTTCCTGAAAAAAAATCAAATATAAGAAAAACAACAATTTCAGAACAATAAGTTACATCCCTCACTTTGTGCGGAAAGATAGCAGTCGAGTTATAAGCACTTCATCTACTCAATACTCGTATAAACTAATACGAGTATAATTTATACACAACTTCAGCAACCATCACCTAAGTCAAAATGTTAGCCAAATATCCTTCACAAAAATCTCAATAAAAATTATGTTAGAAGACGTCTACCAAAAATTAACCCCAACCATGATAACTCATCTTTTTTACCTTTTTTGGGGATGATTATAGAATCTAACAACTAATAGTGTGACACAGACACTATCTCACCCCAAGACTTCCTCGTCCATATAAACCACGAAAACCAATCAAAAACGAATGAGACCGAATTCCTCAACTCATTAAATCATAGAATCTCTATTGCAAGTAGAACGTTATGTATAGCAAACATTTCACACTCATCTCAATGCTTAAAAACAATTGCCAATGCTTCAAAATCCCTTCAAACATTGCACACTCATCTCAATGCTTAAAAACAATTGCCAATGCTTCAAAATCCCTTCAAATTTCATCAATCGATCGAAAACACGAACACGAAAACGATTAATTAGTACCTTGTAAATGTTAGCATACTCTCTATATCTTTGCACATGCTGAGGCCTAACAGCAAATCCATAAGCATCCCTACAACAAACAAAATATCATCTCCAAATTAGTAATATCTCAATCAAATCAACATTTATCAAAAAAAAAAAAAGGCAACAAAAAGATGAAAAACACTAACATACAACACAGCATTGCTCAATTCGTACCACCAAATTGACCTCCAACTAAATTCAACTCGAATTCGACATTACAATCGAATCAAATTACTCACCCCTTGCTCAAACCACATAACAATTAGATCAAAAAATGTAAACCTACATTTCATCAAATAATAATTAAAACCGACACAAAATTACGCGGAAAAACCAAAATTAAACCCATATTACACAAAAATTACGTCGGAAAAATCAAAATCAGCAGCCAAAAAAATCGAAAACATCAAATTGAAGAATGAAAGCGGGAAAACAGGAGAGCGCGTGAAAGAAAAAAAATGGCTAAAAATGGCGGAAAAGTAGAGAGAGAAACCTCTTGTGTTCAAGAGAAATGAGAGGATTAGTAGTAGAGTTGAGTTTCATTTTCATGATCGGGAGGAGATAGAAAATAAGAAATGAGAAGATCTAGGAAAGAAGAAGGTTAAAAATTAGGATTATTATTTGATATTTATTTAATTTTCAACGGAGGTTGAAGGGAGGGAGACTATTATGTTATGGTGTTGTACTACTGGTGAAGTGATACAGCAGAGTAGAGAGAGAAAGGGAGTACATCTGAGCACATGCCACTGGGAAGCAGCAGCGATTTGATGATGATTTTTAGTAAGAATGAAGGGTGTTGTCTGTGAATAGCATATGATGATTTCTTACAAACCCAAATTTGGGGGAGATGTTGTGGAAGGTTGGAATGGGTTGGTTTGAAAATTGTTACCTTTCATTAACAAAAATAAAATAAAAGGTTACCATAACTCTTTCTTCTGTACAAGTGCATTAATTGCTTATTGACTAACAAAATGTTGGCTCATTTGATAAAGTTCTTACCTTACATAGACCTGTCAGTTTTCGACCCCGCCCGTTTTTATGGGTCTTGAACACAATTTTTTGACCCGTAACCCGATTTAATCTGAACCCGTTTAACCCGTAAATTTGTGGGTTAAACCCGACCCGAACCCAAACCCGTCCCACCAACCCGTTTTTATGGATTTTTTTTTTAAAAAATACATCTATTTGACATTTAATATCAAGTTTATTGGTTGAGTTTAATCATTTATTTACCATCTGACATTCATTTCTCTATCTCATTTATTCATCTCATATAATTGTTGCTCAAATCCACACTATCAACCTCCTACATTAACTATCGACCCACACCAATTGCATCCGCATAACTTACGTCATCGTCATGTCACGTTGGCTTGGCCTCTTTTTTTAATTTTGTAATTATTAAAAGCTATTTTTTTTTAATTTTATTATCATTTTTTATTAATTAGAAATTAGTATGCTTTAGTGACGATTTAATTTATGTTGTAGGCATATAATGGCTAAAAATAAGATTGGTGAGAAAAAAAAAATAAGAAAAGTAAGCTTGAAAAATCATAATATTTAAAAAAAATTAGCCAAAAATAAGTTAAATAAAAAATTGTTCTAAACCCGTTGGGTTGACCCGAACCCGAAATTCTGGGTTAGGGTTGAGCATTTCTCGACCCGTGACCCAAACTGACCCAACCCAAAATGACCCGCGACCCGGAGTGACCTAACCCGAACCCGACCCCGACCCGACCAACCCGATTGACAAGTCTAACCTTACATCTTAGAGGTTTAGGGTTCGAATCCAACCAAGTGAGGGTACTTGGGGGTAGGGATTCCCTTACTCTCCCCTCTACTCTCAAGTGCTTGGTTTGAAAATACTAGGCCAAAAAAACCATAAGGGTTGAGGTCTAGTTAGGTTCCTCCTTACCTTTAAAAAAAAAAAATTGCTTATTCGCTTATCTTATGTTGTATGATTTTTCCATTAATGAATTAATTTTGTTTTACAAAAATAGTGGAGTAATATTTAAAGAGAAGAGGGGTTTAAGGTTCACTTTTTCAAATCACCCAACCGATCTTATTTTTAGCATAATTTAATTCAAAGAAGTTTAGATAAATACATATCCAATAAAATGAAAACAACACACCCTAAGCTAGTTGATTTTTAAATAAAAACGTTTCTCATATGTTGTACGTCTTACAATAATTTTAAAAATAAACAAAGCATACAATGTTGTAGATCAGTTGCAATTTTGTAGAGTTACCCAAAAATGATCAAAAGTTGACTAGCTATGAATAATAGTCACATACTTGCAATTTTTACTTGTAATATATATTGATAAATGTTAATCTCTTTAAGAGTATAATAATCAAATCAGTGTGTGAAAGTAACCATCAATTTAAAATTACTTCAAAGTAAGTTAAAAGTAACCTAAATTTTGTTAAAAGTTACGATAAAACTGCTCATTATATGCTAAATATAATTGTACATTGGTGTACACAAAAGTTTTTGTCATCACATTTTTTTTTTTTTTTGTTTAAAGAGCCACAAAAGTAAGTAATGAGAATCGATCCCCAGATCACCTGCAGCCAGGAGGGAGCTCTAACCACTTTTAAAATTTTAAATTAATTATATATTTTTCTTTCCAAAATTCTCATACTTCCTCTATTTTATACAAGTGCATCACTTTTACTTTTACATTATTCATATACAAACTTTGACTATACATTCTTTAAGGTGTTAAAAAATCAATCTTAATCGGAAAAATGAATTCAATAAGACCAAACCAAATGAAAGAGAACCGATCCGGCCTTTGGGTCAAGAAATTTAAATATTCAGTCTGCATTCCGGCCTAATCCAAACCCTCTTTAAAATCTTTCTTAAATAGGTATAGTTGTTATTTTTTTTCTTTTTGTTGTGAAACCACAAGTATATATATTTTATTTAAAATTATAAATAAAAACCTTTAAAGTGTTATTAAAATATTTTCAAATATGAAATAAAAATTCTAAAATCGGTCCAAATTGGTTCGGTCTGGATCTGGTCAAACAAAAATGGTCCTGTCTCCAGATCTTGGATTTAAATTTTTGGTCATCGGCCCAGTTCAGTCCGATCTTGTCCTTTGTGTTGATGTACCGGTGGACAATTCAAACATTATTACTTGTATTAAAATAAAAGTTTATTTGTAATTATGTAAATAATTGGACTATTCACGATGCATATTTTGTATTTTTTTTACTAATAGATGTATTAATGTTTAAATTTGTACATTAGCTGTGAGTACGTCAAAGTGACACTTAGTTAAAACGAATGGAGTAAATACTCACATTTTCTTTATGTATAAATTAAATTAAATTGTTTCAAAAAAAAAAAAAAAAAGGTATTCTCTCAATCAAATATTTGATATCTCTAACTTGATGTTGTTGCACAATGAAATTGTTAAAGGACCAATTTAACCAAAAACTTAGGGCTTATTTGGCATTGTTTTTTGTTTTTAGTTTTCTGTTTTTTTTTTTAAAAACAAAAAACCAAAAACAGGAAATAAGAAAAAGGTGTTTCCACTTTTTTGTTGTCAGTTTTCAACATTATCAGGACTTTAATAAGTTTGACAAACTTTTGATTCATTATATGACATATATCATATGATTTTGTAAAACAAAAAACAGAAAAACATAGCGATGTCAAACGAACCCTTAAGTTTGGTTGATAATTTATAATATATCACGCCCCACTTTATGGTTAAGGGCCATGAATATGTTTTATATTCTATCACACCCCCTCACATGTGAAAATTTTACCCTACACCCTAGTGTAGGGTGTGTTCCCTACACCCCCCCTATGCTACGTCGTTTTGTAGCTGGTATTGAGTTCTCATGTGCAGCTTCTTTCCTTTTGCGATTCTTTCCTTTTTTTTTTTTTTTTTTTTTTTTCCTTTTTTTCTTTTTTTCTTTTCTTCCTCTTTTTTCCTTTTTCCTTTGATTCTTATTATTCAATTTATGTATATATATGATTTTAAACCCTATTTTTTCTCTCTCTTCAATTGATCAACCAACCTCCATTTTTGATCTACATTTTTCTCTCGCTAATTCATCTTCTTCATTTGATTTTTTGAACGAATTCGTTAATTGTTACCGATCATCAATGGCGAATTCTGCATCTGGAGATTGCGTTGATTTTGATCGCGATTGCGAGCGTGTGTTTCCTTCTGGACTTCGTTTCGTTGATTCGTTTGTGCAACAATGTGAGTAATTGTGATCATAATTTTTCAATTTTTAATTATCCCTAATTTGTTCTGTTATAATGCTCTGTTAATTTGAACTTAATTGATGTATTATTATTCACTTTCGATTTTTGAATTTACTACTTTGATTACATTATGATGAACGTTTTTGGATTGTTGTACTTTGTATGAACATTTTGTTGCTTCATTTGTTGTTTCATTTGTTGTTTTCTCTGTGTTTTAGAATTGTGTGTTTTTGTTGTATATTTTGTAGATTATACTTTCAATTAATCGTTTATGTTTTCTTATTCATTGTTACTAATGTGTTTATGTTCAGTCTTAAAGTCATTTTTGATCATTTATTTTTACATTTTTATATCGATATTATGTGTAGTGGTAAATAATGAAAATATTGTTCAAAATATTATGTGCTGAAATTCTTTTTGCAATTGATCATGTGCTGTTTTGATATTGAACATTTTACTTATTTGTTATTGTTCATTCATGAAACTCTTTATGATCATTTATAATTGTATATTGTGCAGTGGAAAAAAATGATGATATTATGTATTTAGAAGCAGAACAGTCTGAATTAAAGGATAAAGAATTTAAATCTGAAGATGAAGCTTTCGAAGCGTATAATGAATATGCTTTTAGGAAAGGTTTTGGAATTCGAATTGGGAAGAGTAAGAGAAGAAGAGATGATTCTTTTTTGATGAAAAGATTTGTTTGTTGTAATGAGGGATTCAAAGATAATAAGTGTAAGAATAAAAGGATTTATGAGAAGTTGGATCATCGAACTGGTTGTTTAGCTTTTGTGCAGTTTCATATTGATCATTTAGGGGTCTATACATGTACAAGACATGAAATGGTTCATAATCATGCTATGATTCCTCCTGAAAAAAGGCATTTGATAAGGTCTCAAAGAGATGTGAATAAAGAGCAGCTTCTTTTCATTTCAACAATGAAATTGAGTGGAGTCAAAGTTACTGATTCTTTGAGGGTTCTAAAGAAGGAGGTTGGGGGATCTCCTAATCTTTGTTTTACTGCTTCTGATGCTTATAATGCATTGTCATCTGAAAAAGCTGCCCAAATTGAAGGATGTGATGGTAACCAATTGATTAAATATTTTGCCAAGAGACATGTGGATGAGACAGATTTTTATTATGATTTTGAACAAGATGATAGTGGTGCTTTAGTTAGTTTTTTTTGGCGTGATGGTAGGATGATGAGAGATTATCATTACTTTGGAGATTTGTTGGTTTTTGATACAACTTATAGAACTAATAAATATGGAATGATATGTGCTCCATTTGTTGGGATGAACCATCATGGTAACAATGTCATGTTTGGTATGGGTTTTATTCTTAATGAGCGCACCGAGTCTTTTGATTGGTTGTTTGATACATTTTTGCACTCAATGGGGAGGAAAAGTCCCATTACAATTATGACTGATCAAGCACAAGCGATTGCAGCGGGTATAAGAAACATTTTTCCTTCAACTGTTCATCATCGTTTATGTGTATGGCATCTTGAACAAAATTCTAAGAAACACATTGGAGCATTGAGAGCTTTGGAAGGCTTTACAGATTTGTTTGGATATCTTTTGAAGTATTGTGAAACTCCTGCTGAATTTGAATATTTCTGGAAAAGGTAAATTATTGTTTTTTATATTTATTTTTTATTTTTATTATGTGATATATTTGATTATTATGTGATATATATATGAACAT